GGTATGGGTCTTGCAGTAGGCCTGAATGATAAATAACCTATTCTAGTGAGGCGCTTGATCGAACCTTTAGAGGAAGATCTTCGCTCCGAATAGCAGAGGGCGAACAGGCATCCTGCTCATGGAATGTATCCGTGAAAGTCTATTTCGGATATAGTAACGGAGGGAGCGACTGAACTGACCTGTTACAACACACATTGGTCTCAGTCTTTGTATACTCAGAATCCGTCGAACAGGCGTTCTGGGCTGTTTATGACTGACTCCCGTTTACGCAGAACGCTTAGTTAGTGATTAAAGGCAAAGCCCGCGATCATTGCCATCTTAGATAGTGAATTTGGGCTTCGCATAAAGAGGACAAGGTTCAGAGTAACTCAATAGTGAAGAAAAAAGCAGAAAAAACATGCCCAATGTCCTAAATAGGACCCCATTACAATCCTAGTTTGTACGTGCATGCGATGGGGAAACAGCGCTTATGGACGAGCGTTCCACGTTATTGGCCAGAAATAGGTGTGGCGCCACGTTTGAAAGACTGACCTTTAATATTCTTATTTTTTCAGTGAATTCATCGTATCATTATGTTTCTTTGTTCTTTTTGAGTTTGTTTTGCTTTTCAATTCAAAATGTTGCTATTTTCTTCCAACCTTTTGCAATACAATACTTTTTGCAATACATTTCCAGTTTTACCACTCCGCGCGCTCAGCTGACTCAATACAACCCTACGTCCGTACAAATGAACGAAGGCGCTGGATTTTCATGCTTTCCTCGTCCCGCTACTTCGATTTTCACTGAAGGGCGGCGCTTGGGGGAGGAGCCTGGAGGCGGGATCACTGGAAAAAAGGAGGAACCACTGAACCTATTTTGCCTTATAGCGCCCCTCCCTGCACTTTTTTGCCGCGAAACCGGTACAGGGTTGTTCGTCGCGGACCGCACTACCCTCCCGACGCCATATTTTCAACTTCGATACCTGATCGCGGACCGTTCCTTTAAGGTAAGCACTGAGATTCACGGTTGCTAAAACGAAACATGAGCGACCTTGTCGTGTTCCAAACAGCAGACACCTAGTCACTTTCAGTACCGAAGCGACATTTCGTAGCAACCTTTACCAAGGACAGCGCGGCGACTCGACATTAGAAATAAGATAGTTGTTTCCAGGCTGATTCATAAAATGTTTCTTCATGCGCGGACTAAGGTGGTCTGCGCGGGAGTGTCGTTCCGCCCTCCTAGAACTAAGACAAACAGATACGCGCTCTACTGCATGTGTTCATTGTTTCGCTTCCTGAGTCGAAAAACGAGCACATGCAGCAGAGGGGCATCTACGTGTGCTTCGTCTTGTGAAGAAGGTGACAAACTGAACCTTCAATGAACCGCCACTGGCTAATTCTAGAATAATCATTATAGGTTCTTCCTGCGGAGCCACTCCGTAGAATCTTACTATATTGGGATGATCAAAACGACGCATCAATTTCGCTTCCTGAAATATTTTTTTTCAGGAAAGACTCGTTGAGAGCGTATGCGTTATTAAAGCGACCTCAAAAAACGCTGAAAGCTGAGCTTTCTTAATGCGAGTGCCTCTCAACATCTTCACTGCCACATCTATCTCCTCGTCATTTTTCAATTTGAGCCGTCCCAAATTCACTTCACCGAACTCTCCATCTGCGATAAATGCTAATAGATTGAGTTGATCCTCTTCACATTAC